TATGTTTCTTTCATGCCTTTAAGGGCTTTATTGCTCATTCTTTTTAATGCTGAATAATATTCCATTATCTGATTTGTACCACAGTTGATATATTCATCTTCTGAAGGATGTCTTGATTGTTTTCAGGGTTTGGCTTTTATCAATAAAGTTGCTAAACATTTCTTTGTGAGGTTGTTTAGTATGTTTTTAATTCCTTTGGGTTAATACCAAGGATCACAATTGCTGGATCATAAAACACAGCTAAAGTGACTGTATCAATGTGCATTTCCACCAACTGTTGAATGAAGTTTCCTGTAGCTCTGTTGTTTGCATTTGTTTGTGTCAGTCTTCTGGATTTTGGCCATTCTAATGAAAGTATCCTAATATGTCATTGTTGCTTGAATTTGCATTTCTCCAATGACATAACCTATGGAGAATCTTTTATATGCTTATTTATATCTCTTGTTTGGTGAAGTGTATGTTAAGGTCTTTGGCCCATTGGTTAATAGGGTTTTTTCCCCCCTTATCTTTGCCTTTTAAGAGTTCTTTGTACATTTTTAGGTAATAGCACTTTATCAGATATGTATTTTGCAAATATTTTATTTCATTCTCTTGGCATTATATTTTGTAAAGAGGAAATATTTGATTATTAGAAGTAAATTCTTTTTATTTATTATTTATTTTAGTTGTAGCTGGTACAATATCTTTATTTATTTATTTTTATGTGGTCTTGAGGATCGAGCCCAGTACCTCACATGTCCAAGGCAAGTTCTCTACCACTGACCTACAGCCCCAGCCCCTAGAAGTAAATTCTTAACTTCACTGATAAGATTAATTTTTTTCCACTGGAATATGCCTTTGGTGTTGTATTTAAAAATCATTGCCAAACCCAACGTCATTTAGACTTTCCTCGATTATCTTCTGAGGGTTTTATAGTTTTACATTGAGGTCTGTGATCCATTTTTAGTTAATTTTTGTGAATGATGTTTATCTAAATTCATTTTTTACATGTGAATGTTTAGTTTTTTCACCACTATTTATTGAAAAGACTGTCTTCTTTCCATTGTGTTGCCTTTGCTCCTTTATCAAAGATTAGTTCATTATTTATGTGCGTCTATTTCTGGGCCTTATAATGTGTTCCATTGTTCTGTCCGTCTGTTATTTTGAATATATACTTTCTTGATTTGTGTAGCTTTGTAGTAAGTGTTTTTTTTTTAAGTTAGTGATGGACATAATTCCATTATTTTATTTATTTTTATGGGAATGGAACCAAGTGCCTCACTTATAGTTGACAAGTGCTGCAGTGTTTAAATTTTTCTTTTTTAGTTGTAGATTGACACATTACACTTATTTTATTTACTTATTTTTATGTGGTGCTGAGAATTGAACCTAGTGTCTCATACATGCTGGGTATGCAGTCTACCACTGAACTGTAACCACAGCCTCTATAATAAGTTTCTTTTCTTTTTTTTTTTTTTTTTTATGGTACTGGGATTGAACTTAACCACTGGGCCACATCCCCAGCCCTGTTCTGTATTTTATTTAGAGACAGGATCTCACTGAGTTGCTAAGCAACTCACCATTGCTKAGGCTGGCTTCAAACCCACGGTCCTCCTACCTTAGCCTCCCGAGCTGCTGGGATTACAGGCATGTGCCACCTGCCCAGCCTATAGTAAGTTTTAAAGTCAAGTATGTTAAGCCTCCACCTTCATTCTTCTCCTACACTATTATGTGAACTGTTTTATGTCTGTCTCTTTAAACTTTAGAATCAGTCTATTGATTTCCATAAAATAACATGCTGAGATTTAGATTGGAATTGCATGGAATTTGTAGATCAATTTGGGAGCAACTGACATCTTGACAATATTGAATTATCCTATCCATGTATATGGAATATCATTCATATTTATTTGTTCTTCTTTGGTTTCATGAGCATATTGTATTTTTTCATGTTGATCTTGTACATAATTTATTTAGTATTTTCTTATATTTATGTGATGCTGATAGAGGTAGTATTGTTTTTACTTCAAATTCCAGTTGTATTCTACAACCTTTGTATTACCATGTATTAGTTCCAGAAGTGTTTGGGTCAGTTATTTTGGATTTCTCATGTTGACAATCATGTCTTCTGTAAACAAAAATAGTACACTTCCTCCCATCATAATACTTTTTCTTAAAAGTATATATTTTTTAGTTGTCAATGGTTCTTTATTTATATGCAGTGTTGAGAATCGAATCCTTTGCTTCACACATGCTAGGCAAATGCTCTACCACTGAGCCAGGACCCCAGCCCCCATCATAATACTTTTAATTTCCTTTTCTTGTCTTATTGCATTATCCACAACTCCCATAATCATGTTGAAAAACAGTAGTGAGAGGGAGCTTCCTTGTCTTGTTTCTGGTAGTAGATTCTTTGAAAAGGAAAATGACTAAGGCAATAATTTGTCATTTGCTAAACTAGTTCTTCTATTCTTTCTTAAGTTCTTATTTTCTAGTAAGGGAAATAACTTTCACCATATTTTTCTTTCATCTCCATTTTGAGATTCCCCCCCACCCCTTTAACCTATGTGATCTGAATGAAAACTCACTCAATTTCAGGTCTTGTCTTTCCATTCTCTGGTGTTATATTAGATTTCCAAATGGCTTTCCAACAGAAGTGCGTGTTAGATAAGAAAGCTGAGAAGTGAGCGAATGCTTCTGTTCTATGGCTGTTGCATTCCTGGTGGTATCATGCTCCCATTCGATAACTTTCTGCCTGCCTACAAAGGTCACAGTTGGTTCTTTTCATCCCCTTAAACTCTAAGCTACTTCTATAAACTTCTAGCGTTTTCTCACTCTTCCTAGGGCATGAGACAGCTCAGGTTGTTTTTTGGTCCATCTGCCATTAAATTTGTCTTTATTCTACTGTTCCTATGCATTACTAGATTTGGATAACTCTTTGAAGCTTGGTATGCCACTGTGCTGTGCCTGGGAAATGAAGTGTGAGCCTCTTTGTACCAAGATCAAAAAACGTATCTACAGTTTTGTTTATTTTCATCTCCCTCCCAGTACCTTTTGGAGAAGAAGAAGGCGTGGCTTGTGCTTCTCTTTCAGGGGTATATTCTTTCATGGAATTTGATTACTTTTCTTTGAACTACCAGTTTGTTAATTTCATTTTGTTGGAAAAAAAAGGATTTTTAATCAGTTTCACATTTCTATTTTATGTTTGATTTGGTTTATGTTAGTGAAAGAAATTTAGAATCTGTGTTTTGTAGTTTCAGTGTATGGCAATTACGGATTTTGAGAGATAATATATTGTAGACTTTGAATCATGAATTTCTAATTGTTAGTAAATGATAATAAAATATTGTACCTGGAAGAAAATATTGTGAGGGAATGTATAAAGTGGAAATGTAGTGTTATCTGTCCTAGGGCATATCCTATTATGTCTGAATCAGAATCAGAACACAGATTTCATGACCACCTAGTCTTTCCTCAATAATATGTTGCTTTACTTTCTTCTGCTAGATCAGTCAGAGACTACCTACCCTCCATTGTCTACCTGACTTTGAAGTTGATTTTCATTTTACTAGACATATTCATTTTTCATTCTACCGTACATGTCTGTTAGCGTGATCATACCTACACTATTCATAAAATGGAATTATTCAACAAAATCATGGCATGCAGTCATTTTATTTCTGATAGCCATGTTGGGTTTTTCAAAACACAAATGAAGATTGAACAAAAATGGTATAAAAAGAGAAAATGGGAAAAAAGGCTGTGATTAAAAAAAAATGAAGTAGAAAGATATTAATTTAAAATTACATGGAATTTAAAAATTTTAAAAGTTATTATATTCAGAAAATATAACCCAGTTTATGGTGAACAATGGTTAGTAGCTAAGCCTCATATTGTTTAGGTGTTATGAGAGAATGAAAAGATAAGTTAAGAGGTATCATATAGTTAGAATACAAAGGGCTTTGGGGTACTAAGAAACATATCTTAATGTTAGAGGCTAAATTTTTCATGGGTAAAAATATAGTTATAGTCTTATGCCATGTATTTATGGAGCAGTGAAATACAGTTTTCCAGCTCACTGTAGTTCTAGCACAATTCATTATTTTTATTTTTGTCAATCACTAATCATAATTTTTTAAAAAGAAACATATTTCTTAACACTTCATACATAAAACTATGTTTCCAGTTCATTAAAAAGAGATTTGTACATGAGTTTGTGTGTATGTTTGTAGACATAAACACATACATACATGGCTACCTTTATTGGCACTTCTTGATTCTCGGTCTATTTCAATCAATGCAAGCTTTTCCCTATTATATTAATGCTTGTTTTATGTATGTGTTGAGATAAGAATTGTAGAATTCATTTGGTTACACTTGCTGATTGACTTATAGGCTTTTAATTATATATCTTTTCAGTGGATAAATGCTAATGGATAAAATAATAGGTATAGACTTATATAAAGCTAATATCGAGGGCAATAAATTAGTTTTCCAGCTCACAACACAATTCACTATTCTTTCTTGTCTTTTTCCCAATTACTAGTCATCTTTTTTTTTTTTTTTTGAAAATATGTTGTATTTACTAATGTGTTTGAACTAAATTGTTTCTTCTCTTCATTTTGGTTAATGTATGTCTTTTTTTTTTAATGAAACAAAAAAATCTGTCTTTGGGTTTTTCTTTTTCTTTTTTTTTTTTAACTGCCTTTCTTATTGCCTTTTTATCCAACTCCCAACTATTTTAATTAAGTTAGTTTATAATGATATAGAACAAAAGGGCAAGATATATGTGGGTAGGCTCATTTAGTTTATGCCAAATAAAGTTACTCTTTGCTTGTTTAATACTTTTCAGTATCAATCTTTGTGTGTTCATAGGGCTGTGCGAGGTAAGCAACATGTTTTATAGAACTTTTCCTTTAAAAACTAAGGTATAAGATTGATGTGGGGATGTTTTTCATGACTATTGTTTTAAAAGAAATAATTGAGTGAAATTTCTTCAGCTATTTTTTGCTGTCTTTTAGGAGTGGCAGAATTCTATTCAGAAGAATGCAGGTCTTGCTTTTATTGAACTTGTCAATGAAGGAAGGTAATCTATTTTATATCCATTTATATTTTGCTTTAAAATGTTATATTCTTCCCATATGAAATACTGATATTTTGGGGTTCTCTTTTTTTTGCAGTCAGTACTGTAATGAATCCTGATATATTGATTATTACAAATATGTTGACATTTAGTAACTTTATAATTTTCTTCATGGTTACATACTGATTGATAAGATTCCGGTCTTTATCTTTCAAGAAATGTGGGTGTTTTGCAAAAGTAAACTGCTTACTCTATTTGCAGATATAAGGAAACGTCAGATTTGTACTTTTTGTGAAGTTGTATTATGTTTATAGAGACCATAATTAGATGCCTGTGATGTCTTGCTTTTATTATAGTCTGACCATAAGGAGAAGTGGGAACAAGTTTTTTTTTGTTTTGTTTTAGAGAGAGAGTGAGAGAGGAGAGAGAAGAGAGAGAGAATTTTATTTAATATTTATTTTTTAGTTCTCGGCGGACACAACATCTTTGTTGGTATGTGGTGCTGAGGAGCGATCCCGGGCCGCACACATGCCAGGCAAGTGTGCTACCGCTTGAGCCACATCCCCAGCCCGGGAACAAGTTTTATTTTGTATTCTGATGTGATAAGAAAGGGAAGAGAGTGAATAAGTAGGTATCATTCCATTTAAAGAGCATAAACAGAAGAATTCAAAGAAAGAAAATTCAGTGGAAAGAAAAAGAAGCAAAAAAAAGTACAGAGATGAAAAGAAATAAATGAGGGGAAACAAATTTGAGTGAAAGAATTAAAAGATCAAAATAAACTGAGTAAATGATGAGTTGACCACATTGATATCTTGGGGTTTACTGATCCAAAGCCTTTTACATGTTTTGTTTTGAGGTAGCTGACGTTGAAAATCCAGAGTAGAGGTTGAAAGGTATGACTGGTTGCCCTTAGAAATAGTGTCCTCAGCAAAGTTATTGTTTCAGGGATATTTCTTTATAGAGTTTTGGCTGATGTTTTGGATTGATCCTATGACTGTAGTAACTGTTTGAACTAATAACTAGGAATTTAGGTGTTCATTTTATTACAGGGTAAGTAGAAATGAATCAGCTTCATTTGATCTTAAATAATACTATTTTTTTCACTTAGAATTGTAACATTTTTAACTTAGATTACAGGTATAAGCTAGTATTAGAAACAAATAAATGAACCTGCAATTATAATGATTCATGCTGTGATAGAAGCAAAGAAGTGCAAGGTACTTTCACACTGAGAAATCAATTTAGTATGGAAGAATCACTTAAAACTTAATCAGAGCACATTTTATTTTTTATTTTTTTGAGCATGATTCTTGAGATAAGTTTTCAAGGATGAATTTGGTTAATCATCTGTACATTAGAAGAATAGGAGTTATGGATAAATTGGAGTATGTTTGGTGAAAAGCATTCATAATACAGGGAACAGAATATTTGAAGCCATTGTGATGTCAGAAAGAAAAAAAGATGTTTTTGTGTGTGTTCCTGTGTGTGTGTGTATGTGTGTGTGTCTGTGTGTCTGTGTGTACGCACACTTGCATGTCCTGTTAGGTGGGAATGTGTTTTGGAGTTGACTGGGCATCTGGATTACAAAAGGCCTAGCACAGAATAATTGGACTTTTATCTAAAGGTGTTATGAAGTCTGTGGCAGATGTTATGTGGAAGAGTGTCACGAAATTTGGTTTTTAGAAAGATTACTGGCAGAAATATTTAGGATAGGTTGAAGGAAAGGAGTCCCAATTGAATTCAAGAACTGTAGCAAGTGATTCATGTAAGAAATAGAGCTAAAGTGTAGTCTATAGTTGGGAAGTAGGAGGTGATCAATAAATATTTCTCAATGAATAAGTGACTAGTACTCTACTCTTGTTTTATTGAACGTTTTCATCATGCCTGAAGGAAGACCTATTTGTTAATAGTCAGGGTTGGGGTTGTGGCTCAGCGGTAGAGCGCTCGCCTCGCGTGTGTGAGACCCTGGGTTCAAGCCTCAGTCCCACATAAAAATAAATAAGTGAAATAAAAGTATTATGTCTTCCTACAACTAAAAAATAAACATTTAAAAAAAAAAACCTTGTTAATAGTCACTTCCCATTTCCCTCTTCTTYTAGCCCTAGCTTGCTAGTAATCTATTTTATTTAGATTTTCCTGTTTGAAACTTGTAACTGGAATCATTCACTGCATGGTCTTTTTGTAACTAGCATTTGATTGTTAGCTGCACATTACTGTAATGAAATGTCTAAGGAAATTGACTCTATGGAGTGAAAGGGTTTACTTAGGTCACAGTTTTAGAGGTTCAGAGAACAAACAGCTTAGTGTAGGCTTGGTGAGGGCCATCCCTTGACTGCTTCACCTAATGGTTAGAAGGCCATATAGTATGTGTCAAAGTTGGGTTCACATCTCCCGCTAACCAGCAGAGATAGACAGGTTGAGTGGTGTCCCACAGCCCTTTCCAGGGCATGCCCCGAGTGACCTAGGGACTTTCCAAAAGGTCTCATCTCTTTATAGTCCGGAACTTCTCACTATACTGCCACCCTTGGGACCAAGCTTTTACTCTTTAGATCTTTGGGGTATACTGATCCAAAGCCTCTTACATGTTTTTGAGGTTCATCTATGTTGTAGCAGTATATTCCCCCTCAAAAAATATTGTTTCATTTCCTAGGTATATCATAGTTTACTCAACCATTCATTTGTTAATGGATATTTGGGTTGTTTCTGGTCTTGGCTATTGTGAATCATGACTCTTAAGAGCATTGCTTGGAGTTTTTAAAAGTTTTTCATTTCAGTGGGTWCATACTTAGGAGTACATAAAAATTGTATGGCAAATTCAATAAATACCAGTATTTAATGATATATTTTTATGTACATATGTTGTTTACATATTTTTAATTTGAATTATTAGTACTTTTCATTTTAAACAACATTCCACCTTCACTATAAATGCATTTTATATATATATATATATATATATATATATATAAATATATATAAATAAATATATATTTACCCCCTCTTTTTTCCCCTAGAACTGGGGTTTGAACCCAGGGGTGCTCTACCATTGAGCTATATTCCCAACCCTTTTATTTTTTGTTTTGAGATTGAGTTTCATTAAGTTGCTTGGGCTGGCCTAATACTTGGAATCCTCCTGCCTCCTTCTCCCCCCAGGTCTCTGTGAATACAGGTATGTGCCACTTCACCAGGAATTGATATCTTGACATTAATCAAATTATATTTCTTTTTTTTTTTTTTTTTTTAAATTTTTAATGTTTATTTATTTTTTAGTTTTTGGCGGACACAACATCTTTGTTGGTATGCGGTGCTGAGGATCGAACCCGGGCCGCACGCACGCCAGGCGAGTGCGCTACCGCTTGAGCCACATCCCCAGCCCTATATTTCTTTGTTTTTAACAAAAGAAAAGAATATGTATAAAATAATTTTTTTACATTTATGAAAACATTCTACAGTTTCTAAAGAAATGAACTTCATGTTATTCTCAAATACTTGTATTCAAAATTTCTTATTGCCATTATTCCTTATTATACAAATAATTATTGAAATAACATCTTTATATCAGGTGTTATCATAATTCTCTTGATTTCTTATCTATGTTTATCTTACTCTTCTTAGCCTATGGAAAGCACACAGCCTTTGTCTTTTATTTTATTTTATTTTTTTGTACTGGGGATTGAATCCAGGGACACTTAACCACTGAGCCATATCCCAGCTCTTTTTTGTATATTTTTATTTAGAGACCAGGTCTCTCTGAGTTGCTTAGGGCCTGGCTAAGTTGCTGAGACTGGCTTTGAACTAGTGATCCTCCTGCCTCAACCTCTGAGCCACTGCGATTACAGTGTGCAACACCACTCCCGGCTAGCTTCTGTCTTTTAAATAAATATTTGAAATAAACAATGCTGGAAACAAAACTAAGATTTATTAGTGAAATAGTGGACCTAGTATTTGAAATTTTGTTCTATATTTAAGGGCAGAATATACTTAAAGGAAAAACTCAGTTGTTTATTTTTCTAAATCAGTGGATTTAGTTTTCCAAATAAATAAACGGTTTTTAAATTTCAGTTAAATATTCAGTGCCTGATGTTAAATGATTCTGTGTAGAAATGGATGTGTTTGAGAAGTAGTTTGGAGTATTCAAGCTACTAGACTTAATCCCAGGGGAAGAAGAATAGTAATACGGATTTTTCTTTTTACTACAAAGGCCAACCTTTTCTTTTTGTTATTATGTAAGTTTGACCTGCCTTGACCTCATTTATAGAGTAACTGCTATAAGTTTGGCCCTTGATTAATGTTTTATTAGTGTAAATAACATGAAGACCTTTATAGACAGACTATAGCATCAGGTTTATCAGAGTTGAAGGGTATCATTAGTGAATCAATTACTTAGGTCAGACGCAAGTAATTGTTCTTTGGTAGAAACGTTTCCCTTATCTTACTTGTTAATAAGATACTTTATAAATACATTGTTTTCATAGTTTTGTGTTTGATTATTGACATTTTTCATGTGCAGCATGCTATTTTATATGAATTTATAGAGCTAAAATAAGTAATAATCAGTGACACAATCTTTGATGTCTTTGCTAAGAGGGAAAAAATGTATTTTCTTCTGTTTTTGTTTTGGTACTGGGAATTGGACCTTAAAAAGTTAAATGTCCACATTTTATAGGAAAGAACACTGGTAATCCTGAAGGATAGTTTTGTTTATGGATGTTTTGCTATCTTGAATCATTGATTTACCTTATAAATATGCAAGTAATTGATCTAAAATTTATTGTTTTTTAAAGGCACAACTTAAAATAAATAGCTTTATATTTTAAATGAATGTTCAAGCTCCCTGTTAGAGTGTTATGCTGTAGCATTACTTTAGTAGAAAATAATGTAGCATTAACACCATTACCTTTGATCCTCTTTTGTGAAATCTGAGGGTTCAGTGGTATAGTAATTTACGTGTACACGTTATTATGTATCTTGGACTTCAATTGATTTGATTTGTGTACTTGATT